TCATACTTAAGCCCCCCCCAACACTCCGCACCTTTGACATTACTACCATCGAGGAAGTCTCCAAGATCCTCTCTGATGCCCCCTCGACCCTATCCCCTCACAACTCCTACGACCTCCCTCCCCCTCCATCCTACGCTCCCTCACCCACATCTTTAATCTCTCCCTCTCCTCCGGCACTTTCCCCTCCCCTCTGAAACATGCACACATCACCCCCATACTTAAAAAGCCCTCCCTGGACCCCAATGACCCAAACAACCTCAGACCCATCTCCCTGCTCCCATTTACATCCAAACTCCTCGAGCGCCTAGTCTACACCCACCTAAGCTCTCACCTCAACGGCAACAACCTCCTCAATCCCCTACAGTCCGGCTTCTGTCCCCTACACTCCACCGAAACTGCCTTACTTAAACACTCCGACGACTTGCTAACCGCCAAAGCTAATGGCCACTATTCAGTGCTCCTACTCCTTGACCTCTCCGCGGCCTTCGACACAGTCGACCACCCCTTCCTCCTCAAAAAACTACACTCCCCTCGGCCTCAGAGATTCTGCTCTCTCCTGGCTCTCATCTTACTTGTCACAATGCTCTTTCAGCGTTACCTATAATGCTACCACCTCCCCCTCACTCCCCCTCTCTGTTGGGGTCCCTCAAGGCTCTGTCCTCGGGCCCCTTCTCTTCTCCATCTACACCTCCTCCCTTGGCCAACTCATACACTCTCACAGCTTCAACTACCACCTATATGCTGACGACACACAAATCTATCTCTCATCCCCCCACCTCACCCCCTCGGTCTCCGCCCAAATCACACACCTACTGAACGACATATCAGACTGGATGTCGCTCCACTTCCTTAAATTGAACCTCTCCAAAACCGACTTTATTGTCTTCCCCCCAGCCCAGACACCACCCCCCATTGACTTCTCCATCACATCCAACAACGCCACCATCAAACCCGCCCCGCAGGCCAGAGTACTTGGTGTCATTCTGGACTCCAACCTATCCTTCCAGCCCCAAGTCCAATCTTTAACAAACTCGTGCAAACTCCACCTCCGCAACATCGCCAAAATCCGCACGTTCCTAACCCCAGAAACCACTAAACAGCTCATCCACTCCCTCATCATATCACGACTCGACTACTGCAACTCCCTCCTCACTGGCCTGCCTTGCCGCTGGCTATCCCCGCTTCACTCCATCCTGAATACGGCTGCCAGACTCTTTCACCTTTCCAACCGCTCCGTTTCCACCACCCCCCTCTGCCAATCCCTCCACTGGCTTCCGATTGCGCAACGGATCAAATTCAAAATCCTAACACTGACATACAAAACCGTCCACCATACTGCCCTGAACTACATCATTGACCTAATATCCAAGTACCGCCCAACACGCACACGCACACTCCGCTCCTCACAAGACCTTCTTCTCTCTAGTTCTCTGGTCTCCTCCTCCCATGCCCGCCTCCAGGACTTCTCCAGGGTGTCACCCATCCTCTGGAACTCCCTGCCCCAACCCATCAGATTATCACCTACTCTCCTCTCCTTTAGGCGCACCCTGAAAACCCATCTCTTCAGGGAAGCCTACCCCACCCCCTGCTAATTGCCGACCTCCTCCACTCTTCTTACCACTCCATCCCCCACAGCTATCTCCTCCTGTACCACCATCCCCTCCCTCCTAGATTGTAAGCTCGAAAGAGCAGGGCCCTCGATCCCCTCATGTTTTGCATTGTATTGGTATTGTTCTGTCACATGTTCTGTCCCCCTCTGTAATGTACAGCGCTGAGCGAACTATTGGCGCTTTATAAATACTGTATAATAATAATAATAATTTGTCCTGTCCTGTTAGCTTAGTGGGTTGTTGGCTGCCTTCAGGAATGGCCAGTCTGGCTCTTTCCCAGCTGTACAGGCTGTCCTCTCCAGGTGATGTTGAGGCAGTGGAGATCCTCTTCTCCAGTGACCTGCCTGTAGATAGGCCTGTGACAATTGTGCACACTAGAGACATGGACGCTGTACATGACAACCATCTTGTTAGGTCTCAGCCATGTTCTCTCCTGTCCTCCCTCCTCCCTTTTGAATGGAATGTGAGGCTGTAAGTGAACAGAGGTCAAAAGGGCCTCTTATCCTAAATAAAACACAGCTAGATGAGCTCCATGGCTGTAAACCACTAATTAGTCTGGTTCAAGGGGTCTTCTTTGAAAAACCACTTCCCTCTGCTCGATCGTAAAACAATAACTCAGTCCGTCATGACCTGTTAGGCTATTAGAGCTAGAGCGTGCCATAAAACGTACATTCCACAAGGGACATTTTTCATACAATTCATAAAGTTAAGCAGGAACTGGGCACATTAATATGAAGTATATATTCGGATAGATCATTTTAATATGAGTCACATGACACCTTACATCACTATATTAGTACCTACAAGAGAGAAGAAGCAGTCTCTTTTATCCTGAGTGACAAGGGTACGCTATGTTTGGTATCTTTGCGTTTGGAATATAATTCTAAATATTAATTTGCCAGTTGCTAGGATGCTGCCTGTACCTATTGGAGGTTATTGACCTTAGTATGAAATTGTAAGGGATTTGGTCATAACCTTGCTTACCGCCTAACACCGATCTCCAAACTGGACGATTGGTCATTTGTTCTCAGGGGACACCCCTTTGAGATGATAGAAAAAGACTGACAGCCTGGAGAATCCTTTAACATCGATCAGGAACCATCTAAGAGACTTGAGAGCAAAGGCAACCTTTTGCTCGGACGATTGGACTCAAACCAAGGACATTGCAAGTATTCTGCCTTCTGAACTCCTTTCTTTTATTTCTCTGTTGTTTTATTGCTCTCTTTATATATTTGTTACATCTTTTTCTGTAAATATTTTAATTGCACCATGTTGACCTTTTTAGTAATAAATCCTATATTCTGAAAAGTATTGAACTGTTTCTAAAGCTTTTAATGCAAACTAAAAGAATCCCTATCTCTGAAGAGTGCTGCTGTATGTAATAATCCTCTGAATATCCCTGTCTGCGGTGACAGTGTGTATACAGACGCTTATGCTAATATCATAGTGTTACTGCTAAGATTTGTGAGTTTCTTCCTTCTCTGTAAAAAGGTGGCGGTGGCAGTGTGAAGGGTTAATTGCATAATTAACCTGACCCAGTAACAATCGCTCTCAGGCTGCTGGCACATAGATTGTGGTCCATTAGCTGGAAAATCTTTGTGCAGGGTGCAGCTGGGCATGGCATTGTTACGCAAGTGACAGCGTGGTGTGAGATCAGCTGGTCCTTCAGTCATGAGTTGGTGAGAAGAGCTGAGGTCGGACGCCGCATTCCATTACAAGGCCCCCTCCCAGACTCCACACTCCAGACTTCCTCAATCCATCTTCCACCCGACACTGACCACTGCCCTCTAGGCTCTCCGATATTTGAGGGTTTCCTTGGTCACCATGCCCAGCTTCCTGCCAGGGCATTGGCCAATGTCCCTCAAATATGCAGATCTGGGCCTCCTCCCCTCCCCTCTCCCCTGTTCCAGAAAGTTCTCGACTTTCTAGAAAGGTGGGAGGGCTCTAGAAACCCTGATCTGTTAGAGCCTCCCAGCCTGTCCTGAGGAGAACTCACTACCTCATTCCAAGGCTGATTCATCCCAGGCTGCTACTCAGGCTCTAACAAAAATCCTATCTACCTAACCTGGAGGGTTAAATAAACGTGTCTTCCTCGGAAGAATATGAAACTGCTTGTGTTATAAAATGGAAAGTTTTTGAAGAGTTTGCACAACGGGCAGAGGTGTTCTCCATGTCATAATCCCTCTGGAATGACCACCCCAGAGTAAAACCCAATTGACGCACCATTCTCAGTTCTCAGAGAAGCTGGGGCTTTGAGCGTGGTCCCCTGTACACATGCCCAGGATCTTACAATGTAACCTGGGGCCCCAACTTCCTGTAATTGCTATGAGATTTTGTTGAACAATGACATACAGCAGAACCCAGCAGGGCTAACTCAACAACCAGGCAACCAAGAGGCCCCACACACTTCTTGAAATGGGCTTCTTCAATAAGCTGGTCAGATGATATGGCCCAAAAAAATCCTCCTTAAAGCTATGATGATTCCTCCTCTTTACCCAGCTGCCTGAGGGTAACCCTTAGCGAGGGGGCCAAGGGCTGCCAATGTAGAACAGTCCCAGACGAGTAGCTAGTTGGGTATTACACCTGACCACCCTCTCCCCTTATCTGGCCCAGGGGGTGTAGGAGTACTTAACCTGTCCTGTTAACTTCTTCAATAGGCTGGTCAGATTATATGGCCCAGAAAAATCCTCCTTAAAGCTACAAATTACAAAAGTAACTGAAGACCAAAAGGGTCCAAATATGACTGTGGGATGTTCTTGGTTTATAAGAAGAATCTCAGTTCTGACCATTGACCGACATGGTCTGCTTTGGTTCACTTTCCTGGTGTAGAGTTTGTTTGTTGTGGTGACGTTGGCTGAATTATTCCTATTTACACTCGCAACTTCCACCCACACCAGTGAAACCTACATACACAGAAAACCCAAAATGCAAATCCCAAGTTCCACATGGCTGCCCACTGTGAGTTCAGCTTCACATTGAAGAATGTAACCTGCCCTGAACACCACCAGAGACGTGCTGCCATTGATGAACCCACATGGCTGTGGTCTACGCTGACCTGAGGTTTTCCCGAACTGCCCTCCCAGCACAGAAAGGTCAGTATGTACAAACCAGGCCGATCCCAGGGGAATTCCTAGTAGTACTGGATTGTCATACATATGGTTTTCTGATTGGGGCCATTCTTCATGGGGATACCAATCAATATCACCAGAAGGGCACTTTACGGCTGCTGCAAAACACAGGAGTCTGGAAGGGCTGCGGTTCAGCCTTCAGCTGTGAAATGGATACTTTGTAGTCAGATGCTTTAACCACTTCCTGTCCGGACACTTTCCCCCCCTTCCAGTCTGGACACTTTCCCCCCCTTCCTGTCCGGACACTTTCCCCCCCTTCCAGTCTGGACACTTTCCCCCCCTTCCAGTCTGGACACTTTCCCCCCCTTCCAGTCTGGACACTTTCACCCCCTTCCAGTCCGGACACTTTCCCCCCCTTCCAGTCTGGACACTTTCCCCCCTTCCAGTCCGGACACTTTCCCCCCCCTTCCAGTCCGGACACTTTCCCCCCCTTCCAGCCTGGACACTTTCACCCCTTCCAGTCCGGACACTTTCCCCCCCTTCCAGTCCGGACACTTTCCCCCCCTTCCAGTCCGGACACTTTCCCCCCCTTCCAGTCTGGACACTTTCCCCCCTTCCAGTCTGGACACTTTCCCCCCCTTCCAGTCCGGACACTTTCCCCCCCTTCCAGTCTGGACACTTTCCCCCCCCTTCCAGTCTGGACACTTTCCCCCCCTTCCAGTCCGGACACTTTCCCCCCCTTCCAGTCCGGACACTTTCCCCCCCCCTTCCAGTCCGGACACTTCCCCCCCTTCCAGTCCGGACACTTCCCCCCCTTCCAGTCCGGACACTTTCACCCCCTTCCTGTCCGGACACTTTCACCCCCTTCCTGTCCGGACGCTTTCACCCCCTTTCAGTCCGGACACTTTCACCCCCCTTCCTGTCCGGACACTTTCACCCCCTTCCTGTCCAGGGCAATTTTCAGCTTTCAGCGCTATCACACTTTGAATGACAATTGCGCGGTCATGCAACACTGTATCTATATGAAATTTTTACCATTTTTTTGAGACAGATAAAGCTTTATTTTGGTGGTATTTATTCACCGCTGGGATTTTTTATTTTTTTTGCTATGTAAATGAAAAAGTCCAAAAATTTTGAAAAAAAGTGTTTTTCTTATAAAATTTTGCAAATAAATAATCTTTCATCATAAATCTCGGCCAAAATGTATTCCGTTATATTTTTAGAAAAAAAAAATAAGCCAAATTAGTTTATAACCAAAAATTATAATTTTTAAACATTTTTTTTACATTTTTATTTTATTTTTTTATATTATTATTTATGGTTTTTTTTTGTTTTTTTTACATACTGTCACCCTAGCAGTGTGGGGTCACCATGGTGACACTGTACTACTTGTGGGGGGTAATGAAGATTTTTTTTTTTTTTTTACAGTGATTGCTTTTACACCCATATAGGATGTAAAAGCAATTTATTTATTTATTTATTTATCGAGTTTATATAGCGCCAAAGGGTTTGCTCAGCGCTGTACAATAGAGGGGGGACAATACATGAAACAGTACAGTAACATCAAACAGCACACAAGGGTAAGAGGGCCCTACTCTTTCGAGCTTACAATCTAGGAGGGAGGGGGTAGAGGTACAGGAGGAAATGGCTGTGGGGGATGGAGTGGAAGGAGGAGGGAAGGGCAGCGGCTGTTAGGTGAGGGTGGGGTAGGCTTCCCTGAAGAGGTGGGTTTTCAGGGAGCGCCTGAAGGTGAGGAGGGAAGGTGACAGTCTGATGGGTTGGGGTAGTGAGTTCCAGAGGATGGGGGAGGACCTGGAGAAGTCTTGCAGTCGTGCGTGGGAGGAGGAGACCAGGGAGCAAGATAGAAGGAGGTCCTGTGAAGAGCGAAGGGTACGGGTAGGGTGGTATCTGGGAATCAGGTCGGTGAGGTAGTTAGGGGCAGTGTTGTGAATGCTTTATATAGGTCAGAGTGAGCAGTTTGAATTTAATGCGTTGGGCAATGGGGAGCCAGTGGAGGGAGAGGCAGAGGGGGGTGGCAGAGGTGGAGCGGCTGGTGAGGTGGATGAGTCTGGCAGCTGAGTTCAGGATGGTCTGAAGCGGGGAGAGCCTGCACTGGGGTAGGCCGGTGAGGAGGGAGTTGCAGTAGTCAAGGCGTGAGATAATCAGGGAGTGAACGAGTAGTTTAGTGGTGTCTGGGGTAAGGAAGGAGCGTATCTTGGAGATGTTCCGGAGGTGGAGCCTGCATGAGTTTGTGAGAGATTTGATATGAGGTTGAAAGGAAAGGTTTGAGTCCAGAATGACGCCAAGGACCTTGGCTTGCGGGGCGGGATTGATGGTGGTGTTGTTTGGTAGTGATGGAAAGGATGGGGGGGGGGGCACGGGAAGGGGGAAAGACGAGAAGCTCGGTTTTGGAGAGGTTGAGTTTGAGGAAATGGAGCGACATCCAGTCAGAGATGTCGTTTAGGAGGTGAGTGATGCGGGCGGAGAATGTGGGGGTGAGGTGAGGGGTGGATAGGTAGATTTGAGTATCATCAGCATAGAGGTGGTAGTTGAAGCCGTGGGAGTGTATGAGTTTGCCAAGGGAGGAGGTGTAGATGGAGAAGAGAAGGGGTCCAAGGACAGAGCCCTGGGGGACCCCAACAGAGAGGGGGAGGGAAGAGGAGGTGGCGCCGTTGTAGCAAACGCTGAAGGAGCGTTGGGATAGGTAGGAGGAGAACCAGGAGAGAGCGGTGTCTCTGATGCCAAGGGAGAGTAGTTTATTAAGGAGGAGGGGGTGGTCGACTGTGTCAAAGGCCGCAGAGAGGTCTAGGAGAAGGAGGACAGAGTAGTCGCCTTTGGCTTTGGCGGTTAGTAGATCGTTGGTGATTTTGAGGAGGGCAGTTTCGGTGGAGTGTAGGGGACGGAAGCCGGACTGTAGTGGGTCAAGGAGGTTGTTGTCAGTTAGGTGGGCGCTTAGGCGATCGTAGACCAAGCGCTCAAGGAGCTTGGACGTGAGTGGCAGTAGGGAAATTGGTCTGAGGTTGTTGAGGTCAGTGGAGTCCAGGGAGGGCTTTTTGAGTATGGGGGTGATGTGCGCATGTTTTAGGGGGGAGGGGAAGACGCCAGTAGCGAGGGAGAGATTGAAGATGTGGGTAAGGGAGCGGATGAGGGAAGAGGGGGGTGACCGGAGGAGTTTGAGAGGGGATAGGGTCCAGGGGGCAGGTAGTGAGGCGGGCTTCTGAGAAGACTCTGGTGACTTCCTCAGTGGTAGTAGGCTGAAGGAGTGCAGTGATGGGGGGGTTACGGTAGGCAGGGCCTTGGGTGTGGTGGGGGGCAGTGCCGTTGCAAGGTCAGAGGAGGGGAGAGATGAGGGTGATGGAAGGGGGGAGGCTAGATGGGGAGGTAGACTGCAAGTTGACTATGTCCTTGCGGATTGCGTCAATCTTGCTATGGAGATGAGTGGCAATCTCGTGGGCGGTAAGTGAGGTACTGAGTGGAGGAGGGGGGGGAGAGAGCAGGGAGTTGAAGGTGGAGAAGAGTCGGCGAGGGCGGTTAGAGAGGGTGTTGATCAGGTCAACAAAGTAGGCCTGCTTGGCGGCGTGGAGGGAGGAGGTGTAGGTGAGGAAGGCAGATTTGTAGAGGGAGAATGCATGAGGGGACCTGGTTTTGCGCCATAGTCTCTCCAGCGCACGACTGCGACGTTTGAGGCATTTAGTGTGGTCGTTCTGCCATGGTTGGAGCGGTCTGGGTTTGATGTTGCGTGTGGTTAGGGGTGCCAGAGAGTCTAGGGTGGCTGATAGTGAGTCGTTGTACGCGGTGGTGGCTAGGTCAGGACATGACAGTGGAAGGATGCTGTCGTGCAAGCGGTCGGCAGCCGAGTGGAGGGGGGCCGGGTGCAGGTTGCGGAGGTTGCGGCTGGTGATGGTTTGGCGCACTGGGGGGGGGAGTTAGGGGAAGGGGAGATGGAGAACGTGAGGAGGTGGTGGGTCGGAGAGAGGGAAGGGGGTGTTAGTGAAGTGGTTAAGGGTACAGAGGTGGGAGAAGACGAGGTCCAGGGGTGTTCCCATTGATGTGGGTGGAGGATTGAGTGTGTTGTGTGAGCGCGAAGGAGGTGGTTAAGTGGAGGAGTCGAGAGGTAGCTGGGGTGTTGTCGTTGATGGGGATGTTGAAGTCCCCGAGGATGATGGTCGGTAGCTCAGAGGAGAGGAAGAAGGGAAGCCAGGCGGCGAAGTCATCCAGGAAGCGGGCTATGGATCCGGGGGGCCTGTAGATCACTGCGATCCTTAAGGGGGTGGGTGAGAAGAGCCGGATGCAGTGAGCCTCGAAGGAGGAGAAGGTTAGGGAGGGGGGGTTAGGGAGGACCTGGAAGGTGCTCAGCGGTGATAGGAGCAGGCCGACACCACCACCTTTGTGACCGCTCAGTCTTGGTGAATGGGACCAGATGAGACCTCCATGAGAGAGAGTGCCGCAGGGGAGGTAGAGTCGGTGGCCTGTACCCAGGTTTCGGTGATGGCTAGGAGGTTGAGGGAGCGGGAGATAAAGAGGTCATGGATGGCAGTTAGTTTGTTGCAAACCGAGCGGCGTTCAGAAGTGCAACCGAGAGAGGGGGGATGGATGTGGGGAGGAGGTGCACAGGTATGAGGTTGAGGGGGTTGCGGCGGCTGGCGGGAGCAGGGGGGTCCCTGGAGGGGGGGAGAGGTGGTGAGGGGCCAGGGTTCGGGGAGATGTCCCCAGCGGATAGGAGAAGGAGAAGGGTGAGGAGGGTGGCATGGGAATGGGAGGTGCAGGAGCGTGTGGGTCTGGTAGTGGTGGCACGTGGGTCGACCGAGGAGTGGAGTACCAGGAGGAGGTGGTGAGTGCCGTAGTGGGGAGAGGGCAGAAGTGAAGGGGCAATGTAGAGCCGTTTTGGGGGGGTGGGCGGGTAGAGGGAGGCGATTTTTGGGATGGAGGAGAGGAAAAACGAGGAGGAGAAGTGCAGGTGGCATGCTGGGGTGAGTGCAGTGCTGTTCGGGTCAGGGGAGGTGAAGGGATACGGGTCAGGGCGAGGTGATGTGGAGAGTCTATATCACCGTGGAGGAGTCCACTAGAGTCCTTCTGTAGGGGGAGAGTGGGAGTAGAGTCCAGCAGCTGGCTGGCTGCAATCTGTGGGTGCAGTATGCTGGCGTCCGAGGGGGCATCAGTGGGTCTGGTGGATCGGCGAGTGGAGGGGGACGTAGGGTGCGATGTTGGGGGGCGTTGGCAGGCAAGGCGTCTGGTGATGCTGGCGGCTCGGTGACTGGAGATTCGCTGGGTGGTCCGGGAGATTCGCTGGGCGACGTCTCGATTCGCTGGGCGACGTCTCGATTCGCTGGGCGACGTCTCGATTCGCTGGGTGGTCCGGGTGTTGGGTGACCAGAGGTGGTAGCTGGGTGCCCGGTAGCTGGGTGCTGGGTGTCCAGGGGTGGTAGCTGGGTACCCGGTAGCTGGGTGCTGGGTGTCCAGGGGTGTTAGCTGGGAGCTTAGACTTCAAGTTGCCAAGCAAAGGCCAAGAGATGGGAAGGACGGGAGAATCCTCATCAACAATGCATTGCAATATCTGGATCGGCATTAAAGACCCATGGTTTTTCGGAATCCCCTCGATGCAGGTAGCGGAGGTGCGGCGTTGTCCTGGAAAGGTTCCTGGTCTGGGGCTGGCTGGTGCAGGGTGGCCCGCAGGGTGCTGGGAGGCCTGAAGCAGTTCCCATGCAGG